GAGAAAGGGGTATTTATTTGATAGAGTAACATGCTTGCGAAGGCTGGAGGGATGGGCTCCAGTACATGGGCAGAGGCACTGGTCCTGCACAGTAATTGTAGCAGGAGGTGAGGTGGTGTGCACAGAGGCAGGTATTTTGGGAATATGGTGATGTGATGGGCATAAGTACATACTCTTCTGGTTTTTTTTGTCTCAGTAAAGATAGAAGTAAGGTTGTCAGTTGAGAATGAAGAGAAGAGTTTATGGAAGTTTGAGAAGTGTGAAATTGACCTGGGAAACTGTGAAAATAAGTTACTGGACAGTAATGAAAACCATGTGAGCCATAGTTATATAAATACAAGGAACAAGTTATATATATACAAGTTATATAAATACAAAGGAACACAGGTCAACTAAACATGACTTTTGTCCTACAGTCATGTTTAGTTTTTTTAGGCACAGGTTAAGAGTAAGAAAAGACTAGTTTTAGTTTTATAGAGTCGCATTTTGTTTAATTCTCAAATGAGTAGCACAGTGCTGGGTGAGTAGATAATGGGATTTGGGCATGGGGGCAAGAGAATAATCATGAGAAGGAACCACAGAAGCTAAGCCGGTCAAGGAGGAGAGTAATGAAATGGGGGATGACAGTCAGTGAAAACTTACCAAGTTGGAGTGATGGTGCTAAGTAAGGGTAGTGACTAGAGAGAGAAGAAGAGATGACCACATGACACATTCGTGGCATGCTTGAAATGGAACTGTTGGCGATGCCCGCAATTAGTCATGACACAGTACGTGGTATAACCATGAGTGTGGTGGCTGATGTTCAGGCAGTGGCAGAACAAGATTTTCAAAAGTCATCAAGGAGCTGAATGGCCAAGATGGTGAATGGAGTATGAGTGGGGAGGGTGAATGGGTTAGGTGCTAGAATATTCAGTCAATGATAAGGAGACATGTGCTTGTAAGAAGGTCATTAGAGAGGAAGAAGGATCAAAGGTCTGAAAGTAGCTGCAAATAGCAAAGCAAGGTCTGTTTCCCCTTCAGGCCGATAATATGCAGGTTGCAGGAGAGGAAAACAGCTGGGCTTGAGAGAGAGGTCTGCAGGGAATGTGGCGTCTTCAGGAGGCAACCATTATTGAGAGAAGAGGACATAGGTGATGGCAGCTGTAAGATCTAGAGGGGATAATGGAAAAGTCTTAGGCAGGGGGAACGCATTGGAGATAGAAGCAAATGAGAGAATACACTGGGCAATATGGGGATAAGCAAATAGATGAAGGAAAAATGGCATGGGAACTTGGACTATTTTGGCAACAGGTAACCAGCGATGAGAGCAAGATGGCATGACCCTGGGGATCACTTCAGTGTGGTGCATAATTAATCTAGTGAATCATGAGGGGGCAGGGAACAGGGAATGGGAGTGTGGAGAAGAGAGCGCTGGGATGGACGTCCTCTATTCACAAGAACGGGTGGGATGATCAGGGCCTCCCACAGAGGTAAGAGACAGTTTTGCTCAAAGAAAATGATGCCAGTTTGGTTTGCCCCTTAACAATTCAGTGTTCTCCTGTTGCCCTTACTTTCTACTTAAGAAAAGGCTGCCTCACTGTGGCTTATCCCTCAAGAGGCCATACAGACAGCAGCTATACAGAAGTTCATAAATAAAGAGTATCATTCAGCCCTGGACCTGAGCCACAAATGGTGCTTTAAAAACCACACTTTTCATCAGCTAAACTTTTTACTCAAAGATCTACAGTAGTTTCAGTAGATTTTAGCTGCCTGGGGAACTGTTAGTTCTCCAAGTCACTTCAGAGCAAGAGGCCCTTAAGCTGGGCAGTTCTAACTTGCAACTCATTCCCCACTTGTGCAGTTAAGAAGACTACTAAGAGAATAATGAAACAGACCTTTGGGAGCCACAGTTCCAGGACTCCTTTCCTGTAGTTTGTGAGTTCAAACAAGGCAAAATGTTTCCAGCTCTGGATGCTTTCTTTGAATAAGAGAGTAGAAGCCACGTGGGTACTAAGTGTTTTCAGGTCTCATGGTGTGCTGCTAAAGTGTTATGCACAATGCCATCTTGATGGCATGAACTGGGTAGGTCATGCTTATTTTATTGAAAAGACTCCCTAGGGTCTGCCGTGAAGGCACATTTGCCATGCTGTTCCATTGGCTAGGAAGGCCCCTTACCGAAACTGCAGCTCTGTCTCATGACTTCCTACTTGTCTTTCAGGACTCACACCAAAGTCATGGCTCTGCAGTGCTCTCCTCAGCTTCACCTTTATGGTCTCTTTAGTTTCTTCTATAGCACATCATATAACGTGACAATAACTAAATTTATGTACCCAGGAGGACCTAGTCCATAGCGCTCAGTTTAGTCATCATAGCCCTTAGAAACATTCATTGTATTTTATCCGACACCTTTAACACCCAACATCATCTTCAGTGTAGACATGCATAGAGTTGATGAAGGACAGTTATACGTAGTTGTTTAGACATGATTTTCAGATCATGGATGTAATTGTACCATCTCAGAAAGAAAGAGTGGTTTGGGTTACTTTCCTTGCCATCAATCCCTGGTAGATTATCTGGGAACAGATGAACTTAAGAGTCTCTGAGACCAAGATATAATTATATCCTGTGCTGGTGACCATGATACTTTTACTGCTGGTCAAATCCCTGAGGCCAGAGCCTTGCTATGTTCCTTAGAAGCTGAAACACTCTTTCAATAGAAATAATTTGAGGGCTGATAGTTTCTATTTAGTGAGCATTTACCATGTCCCAGGCACTCTGCTAATCCCTTCATCTACTGTACTATATTCCTCATAAAAATATGATAAGGGAGGAACTATTAACCCTACTTCCAGAAAAAAAAAAACAAATTTAGGCTTATATATATTACATAACTTAAGTTCATAAAGCTATGAGGTGGCAGAGCGGGGTTTGAACCCTGGTCTTAGATTCCAAAACTCATGCATGTGGTACTCTAATCAGAATGCAGCTCTGCAGTGTAAGGAACACTGGGGTTTGTGGAAAGCATCACATTCTTTAATGCTCTCCTGAATCCTCAAGGTGTTGTAATCATATCAATAATATAAACTACCCAGCCTGGGAATGATTTTTTGAAGGACATCCCAGCTTGAGAATCAATGGGAATAATTAAACTCTACTTAGAGTTTTTAGTCATTTCATAATGTTACATATAAAATCATGTTTCAGTGGAACTGACATCATAGGTAATTCTGTCTTAAATGTTCTCCAAAGGATACCCAGACATCTAGTTTGAATAGCGATGCTAACACAGTAGGCTCCACATCTGCAAGCAAATCCTTTATCCTGAGTTTATAACTTAAGATTCATTTTAATTACCTAAATAGTTTTAAGAGGCACATACAGGCTGCAGCAAATGAAATCTTGATATTACCTAACTACTTTGTATCCTTAATGATTTCCAATTTATTCTTATGTTAATTACAATTAATATTGTCTAGGCTTTTTGTTTAACTAATGGAAATCCAGATGAACATGCTGCTCGTGGTATCCATTGATTAGTGCCATCATCACTGAAATTGACAATTAAAATTGACAATATCATCCCTCAAATATTACAGGCCACATAACATATGTGTGTGTTTGTGTGCATTGCATTCCCAAAAATTACTACAAACTCACTGTGCTGGCAGTCTCTTTGGCATAAGGCATGAAGGGATTTAAGAGCAAGAAGATACAATCCTGGCCTCTTACGAAGCTCCATTTATCAATGGAGTTATCAATGCAGCAAAGTGACAGGCACTGGGATAAGCACATTACATACCACCATTAACCACGGCAACATCCCTACTTTGTTGGCGTTATTATCTCCAGCTTGTAGATGAGATCAGACAAGTCAAGTTACATGGTATTGCCATGTATCTTGCATAAGGCATGTTGAGGGGCAGATCTAGGTTTGAATGGCTCTCAATTTTCTGCTATTTCCACTTCACCACTCACCCTCCTAAATTGTTTATTATTTGGTGAAGAAAATAATCCAATGTGGGAAAGACAGAAAGATATATATGCAAATTGGGGCACAAAAAGCAACTAACACTGCTTTGAGATTCTGGGAAGCTTCATGAGGAAACTGACATTGATTTGGCTCTTAAAGGATGTTTGGAGTGTGCCAGCTAGAAGGAAGGCATCAAGAAGGACACAGCAATAGCAAGTGGAAAGTTCTAGAGGCATGAAATGGTATGGCAGGTGTGGTGTGAAGTGGTAGGAGACAAGAATGAAACTGGAGGTAGGGCCTTTTACACTATGTGAAGGGCTTTGTCCTGGGCAAGTGACAGTCATCATATGTAATTAGCAAGATCAAGCTTTGGTCAAACGAATAATTTCAAAAAGGTAACCTGCAAAGGACAAAAGTCCAGGAGAGATGCTGGAACAAAAGGCGCTAGGTAGGATGCCTTCATCAAAAGGTAAGGGAAAAGTGGTTAAAGAGAGCAGATTAAAAAGGCAAAGATGAGTGGAACAGACTAGCTGGTGAGCAAATTTATGAGTGAAGAATGAGGTAGAAAAGAAAAATATGAGTTGGCTGGGCGCAGTGGCTCGCGCTTGTAGTCCCAGACAAATTGTGACCCGTCATTGCCATGCATCCTGCATAACTTTTGGGAGGCTGAGTGGGGCAGATAGCTTCAGCCCAGGCATTTGAGACCAGCCTGGGCAATATGGTGAAACCCTGTCTCTACAAAAAAATACAAAAATTAGCTGGGCATGGTGGCATATGCCTGTAGTTCCAGCTACTTGGGAGGCTGAGGTGGGAGGATCACCTGAGCCTAGGGAGGTCAAGGCTGCTGTGAACCATGATCACACCACTGCACTCAAGACTGGGTGACAGAATGAGAGAGTGAGACTGTCTCAAAAAAAAAAAAAAAAAAAAGAAAAAAAAAAAAGAAAAGGAAAAAATATGAGTTAACATTTATGGAGTCCTTTTTGTATTTTACTAGCAGCTGTGCTCAGCCTAACCCAAGCTATCTCATTAAGACCACATAACAACTGTATGGGAGTATTATTTTTATTATTCCAATTGCACAGAGGAAAAATAAGTTATGCATGGAAGGTTCAGTAGTAACAGCTGGCAAATTGTAGACCATTGGAATCCAAGCAGTTTGAATGAATATCTTTGTGTTTTACTAGTACATCATATAGCTTTCTGGATGAGTCTGAGGTTTTTATTAACTATGATAAGGACTGGAAATAGGTGAAAAGATATGAAGGGAGAGTTATTAAGATCAATTTTCACATTTTGAGTTTGAATTTCCTATCGTGTGTCCAGGTGGAAGTAACTGGTTAAATAATTGAAAGACAGAGAAAAGGAAATTAAAGAAGTTATTGCTATAAAGGTACTGGTTGATACCATAGGACCACAGACACTTGCTCAGTGGGAGGGCAAAAATAAAAGCAAGACAGTGGCAAGGATGACAACAGTACAGACCACTTTCCCTCTTGAAAATAAATAAGCACATGCAAGCATTCAACCTTCAAACAACGCAAACCCCATAAACTCGAGTATGCAGTCTTTATTTCTGATTTTGACTTTTGTAACTTTCTGTTCTACTATGAGAAAGATTATTTGCCTGACTTCTCAAAACCGTTGTCTTATTGTGAAGAACTGTTCTCCCAAAACTCTAGCTCCAAAGAGCCCTGGGTTTTTCTAGAAAATTAGCATTGCTGAGGTTCCCATATTTGCCAAAATTGGAACTTTAGGCATTCACCTTTTAAAATTATTGTATATTTTCAACAGGAAACACTGATACTGTCAAAATTAGAAGCAAAACAGTTTGTTCCTTCCAAACTTTTCTTCTTCTCCTCCTGCACCCTGGCCCCCTCCCACCAGCTTCTTGCTGCAAACCAACTTTGCCAACTGTAGTAGGGAGAGAATCCCAGATGGCAATAGCTTGAGTGAGAAAAAAATGTCACTACATGACACATACTCTAGCAGTTTCACTCAGAGGGAAACAGTAATACCATTTCACTGCTGGTATTCTAAAGTGCCATTGTTGGGAGGTGGGAGAGGTTTGAGTGGGAGACAGGTGCTCACGTGGGCATGGTTTAGCAAGCATTGTTTCCCAATTCCTAAGTAGCAGGAAGAATTCCTCTACAGCTATCCAGCAGTTAAAGAGATTTAGTCCAGAATGACAGAGTAATTCAAAGCCTGAATGGTTAAATGCCATTCTTTACCATTTTTTTCTTCTCTAAGGAGCATCCTGCATTGGTGATACACACCGAGGATCTGGCAAGGTAGACAGTGGGCCTCAGAAAGGGACTTTCTCATGGAGTCTCAAAGTTCCTATGTCAAATCGTCTGGCAAAGGCAAAACTGAGTGATGCCAGGGGAAGAATTTTAAAAGCAGCTCAAAGGTTCCTGGTGATTCGACTGTATTTTATAAAAGTATTTACATTTCTCTTTTTGGTCATGACAAAGTCTATTGGCACAAACAGCACAGCCACGAAGTATTCTTCTGATTTTAATAACTCATATATTTTTATATATATATATTTATATTTTTGCTTATCTTCATTTCCTCAGCAAAAAGGGAAATAAAAATATTGATCTATAAAATAAGCTGATGATAACACAATGCCAAAAATAGCTTATGTTAAGTGCAAGGGGTGAAGCTTGAAAGCAAGCTAAATTGCAACAACATATTGATTTAACATTTTAAATACAAGACTTGCAATAAAATAATTCTTGACATATGCTTCTCATTTTTAGTTGACTTTTGAAAAACTACTCTATATACACATATCCAGTTGTAACACTTGACAGTAGCATTATGGGGCATGACATAACTTTGGTACACATTGCAGATGTGGATGGTTAATGTCTGTAAATGATATTCCTTCACCAGTTAGACTTCTGTACATCCAGGTGACCAGCCACCTGGTTCTAAGTCATATCCCACCAGAATCCCTGGAGTCCTTGCCAGAGCCATTGGAGACGGCAGGCGAAAGCAGGCTCACTGGATCCATATTGTGTTTCCTCTCTCGGTTCTCCTGGGTTCCACTGTCAGTTCTCCAAATGTGGAAAAAAACTGCTCCATTTCTTTCTGTAGCATGTCATTTCTTTTCTCAGCATCTTCTTTTGCTCGCTCGGCATTTCGCATTTTTATTTCTATCATTGTGAACTTTTTCCTCTCCTGATCCAGTTCATCATGGAGGCTCATCATTTCTGTTTCCAAAGTCAAGTTTCGCTGTTCTAAGCTACAAAGGATGTGGGGGTGGGGGTGGGAGGGGGCGGGCGGGGAGGCAAGAGTAAGAGATAAAGTGATTTTATTCACTTGAAATGCAAGAGGCATACAAATATTTTCTAAACTCTATGATGCTTAGGAAATTGGAATAAAGCCCTTTCAATGATTTAAAAGATGTAATTTTGTTTTATTATTTTACTATTTGCTAAGACGATTTACTGTCAGTTTAGTAATTAGTCCCAAGGCCTCTCTTGTAAGCAGCTGTCATTTAATAGAAAATAAGTGAATGCCAGCACAGAGAAACCAGTGACACATGCCGGAGAGAAGAGACAGAAAGCTTCCTGGACGTTAAATTGTAAACTTGACTATACTAAATGCAGTGGGGAAGTCTGATAAAGTTGAAAAAACAAAACAAAACAAAACAAAGCAAAACAAAACAAAACAGGGGGCCATAACATTTGCTTTCTATAAAAGGAAAAATAGTGACAGGAAAATGTCATTGTTGGTTAAGTTCACCGCTAAGAATGGGGTTTTTGGAAGCATATAGAGTCCCATCTTGTAAAAGACTACCCAGAGTAGTGAGCTTACATTGATACGAGAGGTAAAGATCACTCTTGCAGTGTTAAATAAGCACTGCATCTTATAATTTGTAAAAATAAAGCCCATTCCTTGCTATCCCCAATTCTCACTGTTTCCCAAGTTATTAATATAGCTTAGGACATAGGTAGTTTATATCTGTATAAATTGATAGTTGTTTTGTACAGCTGTATTAATAGCTTTTGGATAATTGTAGAATTCACAGTAACGTCTTTAAAAACAGAGACTGTTTTCTCCATAACCACTAAGATCCAAATCTTACACATATATTATTCAAAAGAGGTGTATTTTGGTCATGGCTGACTTTTTAATTTCCCCTGTTCTGAGCAAAAGTCCCGTGGGACTCATTCAAATTTACCTAGCCAGCGAAATTTGAAAGATTAATGCACGTGTAGCTCTCAGAAATCTGATTATTTTAATAACAATTTTAAAATTAAAATCTCAATTATATTTCTACTTTGAAAAATTTGATCCCCACGTGTTCATATTTCACCCAGATAATAAGAACACTTAAAAATTAATATTCCTTCTCTTTGTAAGCAACTAGAATTTTAAAAATATAATACTTCATATTTTGTAATCTTACATCATTTAGAAGGCTATTTTAAACATATGACCACATTTTTACCTGAAAATTTGGTACTATGCTGGTTGCCACTCAGAATTATTCTACAATGTATTCTCTTTGCTTTCCAAAGCTATTTTAGAGCCAAAGTGTTGGAAGAACTTGAAGTTGAAATACTGAGAAAGACAACCGTTACAAAACAATATATTGACATGTTTGCATGTATCAGGTGCTTGTGTGAAACTTCCAGGAATGAAAAGGACTAAGTTGAATACAGAAGAAATTCCTCCCAATGTAAACATTTAAAAGTGCTGGAAAATTTTTAAGAAATATATTTTAAAAATACATAATCAAGGTTAAAATAAAAGAGCGGCTCCAGGTATCAGAACCAAGGAAGAAACTGAAATACAGAACAACAAGTAGAAGCACACAAGGGCTATTAGTCTGGGATACAGGCTACAGAGCTTGGGGCTAGGATATCCTTTTTCACATGAGGACAGAAGATGAGGCCTCCAGTATTAGGCAGGCAGAAAACTACAAGTAATTTAACCGAGAGCTTGGAACATCAACTGTTTTTATGAAGAAGAGACTACAAAATCTCTAATCATGGGCCTGGGGAAGTATCAGAATGGAATTAGCACATCAGAGTATTAGTAAGCTACAAACCAGGTCTGAGAAAAGTTACCTAGAATGCCTCAAAAATGATAATTATAGGAATTTAATATGGGGAAAAAGAAGTTAACAAAGAAGGAGGACAGATTAACAAGGTCAAACATATCTTAATAAGGGTTCTGGAAAGAGAAAATTGAGAAGGTGGGGAGATGAAATAGACAAAAAGATGATGAAAAAAAAAATTCCAGAATTGTAAAGATGTAAGTTGTTAGATCAAGTGATGAAACAAAGTTTGAAAGTTAAATAAGGGAAAAGACATATCAGGAAGTTACTAATCAAAGGAAGATGGTATGACAATATTAATATCAGAAAAAAATGGACTTTAAGGTAAAAAGCATTATTATAATGAAAAATAAGCACTAATGAATAATAAAAGGATCAATTCTTCAGGGAGCTATGAATAACTCTAAACTTCCATGCACCTAGTAGTAGTCTCAAATTGTTCAATATAAAATATGACGAAGTTATAAAAAGAAACTGATAAACTCAGAATACTGCTAAGAAATTTTTAAATATCTTTCTCAAAAATTATAGATCTAGCTGATAAAAATGAGGAGAAATGTAGAAGCTTTGAATAGCCTGATTAACAGACTTGAGCTCTTGGTCATATATAGAATCCCAATCCAGTAATAAGGGAATAGTTTAATAGACCAAATGATTAATATCATTCAGATGAACGTCTCTGATCACAATACAATATTTTCTAAGAAAATTAAGTTAGAAATTGGCTGAGTACAGTGGTTCACGCCTGTAATCCCAGCCCTTTGGGAGGCTGAGGTGGGTGGATCATTTGAGGTCAAGAGCTCAAGAGAAGTCCAGCCAACATGGTGTAACCCCCGTCTCCACAAGGAAAAAAAAAAATTAGCCAGGCATGGTGGCACACATCTGTAATCCCAGCTACTCAGGAGGCTGAGTCAGGAGAATCACTTCAACCTGGGAGGCAGAGGTTGCAGTGAGCCAAGACTGCATCATAGCACTCTCCAGCCTGGGCTACAGAGTGAGACTCTGTCTCTAAATAAATAAATAAATAAATTAAATAAAAAAGAAAAAAAAAAAGAAAAAAGAAAGAAAGAAAAGAAAAGAAAGAAAAAGAAACCAATTTGGAGAGGGAAAAAGAACACATCTTTCAAAACTAAAAACCATATATCTGATTGATTGATAATTAAAATATTTTCTATCTGTCTACCTACCTCCTATCTATTTACCTACTATCTATCCATCTATCCATCCATTCATCCACCCTTAATACCTGTGGGGTAAAGCTATAAAGGAATTTAACATATATCTCATTGATAATTAAACAAAGTAAAATATTATCAATCATCTATCATCTATCTATCCATCTACCTACCTATCTATCCATCCATCCACCTTCAATGCTTGTGGGGTAAAGTTACAAAGGAATTTAAAGAAAAATGAATAACTCTAAACAGAAATGATCAAAATTTAGCCAGAACAGTTAACTTTCTATAATTTCATGGCTAGGCCACGAGCGGTCCCCCACCCTACCCTACTGCAGACCTCTCCCTTGACCTGTCACGAGGGTAAGAATGTGACAGTGAAATGGCCCATTGAGATGACCTCTATTGGGAAGTTCTATCAGCTTATCAAAATTTCTGAAATATACCATAGATCTCAGAACAAATATGCATCGGCAACATCCTCAGAAATGAATGTATCCATCAGCAAATTCATAATGATAACTTTTTTCTTTTTCTCCTACATTTAAGGTGTGACCCCTTGCCTCAAAATATAAGCTTCCCAGTGTGAAATGCTAATTTATCATCATGGATTAGCAGTAATTCAGAATTCCAATACATAGTGGTTCCAAAAACTACATTCAGAAAGAATAGTAACCCTTTAAGATGATGATCCTATATTTTTATTTAAATCTCCTGTCACTCTGCATTGTATAGAAAAATTCAAACCAGAACTCCACTCGGTGGAATTTATCAAAAGAATACTTTCCATGGAAGTAATTTTTCAATCTCATTTATAAGTACTATTTTTTAGTATTTATTTTGCCATAGCTTCTGAAAGTATGTTATCTTTTTGTCTGATAACTGATAAATGAATAGGAAACATACTAAGGTAAATTAAAGCCACCATAACAACTGACTGAGGATCCTAGCACACCATAGAGGAAGGGTTGCCCAAATCACACAGCCTGAAACTGGGACTAAGACCGCTAGAATAGCTACTCCTACTTTGATCACTTTATGAAAAGATGCACATTGATATAATTAGGTTTTAGCATAATTGCCTCTTTATAAATCATAGTTTTTCTTCCTCTTTTAGGCTAAGTCTTCCTTGTTCATGTGAACACACTTCACGTCACCCCTCTTCTCAAAAATCTCCATGGATTTCTATCTCAGAGTAAAAGTCAAAGGCTGAAAATGAGCCTGTCAATCCTCTGTCACCTGGCTCTTATGGCCTCTCTGAGCTCATCTGAATCCTCAGGGTCTGGAACAGAGACTGGCAGATAGAAGGCACTCTCTCAACATTCAATGATTGAAAGAATAAACATGGGCCGGGCGCGGTGGCTCAAGCCTGTAATCCCAGCACTTTGGGAGGCCGAGATGGGCGGATCACAAGGTCAGGAGATCGAGACCATCCTGGCTAACCCGGTGAAACCCCGTCTCTACTAAAAAATACAAAAAAAAAAAAAAAAAAAACTAGCCGGGCGAGGTGGCGGGCGCCTGTAGTCCCAGCTACTTCGGAGGCTGAGGCAGGAGAATGGCGTGAACCCGGGAGGCGGAGCTTGCAGTGAGCTGAGATCCGGCCACTGCACTCCAGCCTGGGTGACAGAGCGAGACTCCGTCTCAAAAAAAAAAAAAAAGAAAGAATAAACATGGAGGTTTATTTACTTCTACTTTTATTTTTACCCTAGTTTCATCCTTCTCTTGTTAGTGAAAACTAACAGCCTCCTAACGCTCTGTCCATCTCCTCACAGCCCCTCTCCTTCCAGCCCTCTAATGCAAATCTATCTATTTAATAATAATCAAAGATGACATTTTTGAGCCTATTCTGTACCAGGAAAATATTCAGTCACTTCTTATGTGCTTTTGAGGTAGATACTACTAGTATTTAAATTGTTTACATTAGGGAATCAAAGCTCACAGAGATGAAGCTAACTTGCACAAAGTCACAAAGCTCATAAATGGTGGAGCAAACCTGGGTTTGTTTGACTTTGGAGCCAGCATATGTCACCCTCAGTGTGATCCCATCCCACAGTAAGAGGCTACTGAGCCCTCTCTGGTAGTTACGACCTCCAGATTTTCCTCACCTCTTTATCCTGGACTCATACTCTATCTTCTGTTTGGTCATTTCCTGTTTCAGGCTGGAAACTAAACTGTGCAGTGCACTGTGGTTGCTGCTGCTGTTACCAACAAATGTCTCACTGTTGTCACTGCTGCTGGTGGCACGACTACTTCGACCTCCCACACTCCTATGGTCACTTTTGCTTTCATAGTCCCTGGGGTGGGAAAGGTCTTCCTGTGGGGGCCCATCCAAAACAGGGTCCTCAAAGTTCCCCCCATAAAAGTCTTGCTCTGGACAGGTGGTGGTGGAAGAGCGACAGGAGTTGGAGTTCTCAGGGAGGGAGATTTCACAGGAGGAAGTGGACCAGGTGGCGCTGTCGATGCTCTGCTTGTCATCAAGGTTCATCATGGAGAACTGTTGATGGACGTTATCGTAGGTGGACAGTCTGTTGTGCTGGCCTGACTCTCCAGCTTGTTCTTTCTGCTTGTTATCCCTCAGGGTCACATAGCCATTTGGCAGCCAGCTCATGTTTCGTCCATTTGCAGGGTTTCCGTGTGTGTCGCTGTTCAAAATGCCCATGCGCACCGTTCCATTCTGTACACTGTGCGTGCCCATTTTGGTACCAGATCCCTTCAGTGAAGAGGTCCTTCTAGACTGTAGGCTTCCATTGGGGGTGGTTTGCGCTTTCTCAAGACCTTCTGCATTACTGCTGCTGAAGGACCCATTGGTAACTATCCCACTACCCTTATTAAAGGCTGGGTTCTTTTTGACCATGAGAGGGGGGCTTCTAGACACATCTAGCTTGTGAACGCTGTTCCTTGGGCTGTTGGTTTTGCTGCCTGATAGAGCTGTGGGGGATCCATTGTCCATGCTGCTTCTCTGGGGAGACTCAGACTTGTCCCAGGAGCACTGCTTACCAGGGCTGTTCTTGGTGTTATTGTTCTCCTTGTTCTGTAACTGCCCCATGGTGGCTTTCTTTTGAATTTCATTGTTGTTGTTGCTCACTCCATCTTGGGGTTTGCTTTGTAGTTCTGCATCTTTGGGAAAGAGGCAATCATGTTTGCTAATCATCATTGACATCAACTGCTGGACCACCACGGTGCCTAGAATTGCATAGAACATAAAGTAGCATGAGTGAGACAGTTTTTATTTATTTCTATTTCAATGTGACTCTTAAAGAAACATATTCAAGTGAAAATTCAGCAGTACCAAACCATATTTTTAACTATAACAGCAATAGAAGCTAAAAGAACTTCAGCATTTATTCTGTGCCATGAACTGTGTCAAGCACTTTGCTCTTGTAATTTAATTGAATTTTGAAACAAATCTATACATATATATTGTTATTATCACTGTATTATAAAGGTTCAGTAACTTGATTAAGGTTACATGTTAAGGACCAGACCCAGGGCTTGATCCCACAGTTAATCATTAAAAACCTGGGCTCTTAATCATAATACAATATTTATTACAAATTTGACATTTAATTCTGAGAAATATTTCTTAAGAGGAGGTAACTGTGACGTCTCAACTAATAATTGCCTCAAACTATCAAGATACTTTAGTGGTATCTGTAAATGGAACCCGATACAATCAGGGTGGATGCATGGTTTCTCTAATGTATCAAGATAATGAAATCCATAAGACGTTTGTTTGCCATTCAAAAGCTTTAGGGCATTTTAAGTGACATCAGCCAGAATGGTGTAGTGAAGACCTCCAAAAATCCTCTTCACCATATAAGCAACTAGCAAAAATTTCCAGAATCAACTATTTTGGAATCCTGTAAATTAACTAATGGCTTGATGCAATCTGGAGAGTGTTGCGGTGGCTCCCGCCTGTAATCCCAGCACTTCGGGAGGCCGAGACGGGCGGATCACGAGGTCAGGAGATCGCGACCATCCTGGCTAACACGGTGAAACCCCGTCTCTACTAAAAATACAAAAACTTAGCCGGGCGAGGTGGCGGGCCCCTGTAGTCCCAGCTACTCGGGAGGCTGAGGCCGGAGAATGGCGGGAACCCGGGAGGCGGAGCTTGCAGTGAGCCGAGATCCGGCCACTGCACTCCAGCCTGGGCGACAGAGCGAGACTCCGTCTCAAAAAAAAAAAAAAAAAGAGAGTGTTTACTTAAGAAAAATGGCGGAATGTCAGTAAGAGCAGCAAGGTCTGTGGCATTTTAACTTGCTCTAATCTTATCCTCCTCTCCTTGAAAACCAACAGCCCACAATCACAAAGAAAACCAGCCATCTGGCAGCCACTGGAATGGGCAGAGCAGGGTTGGATTTTAGTTAGTAAATATAGTTTCTACTTAAAATACTTAAAACTTGAGATTTGGTGAAGAAAATGATGAAAAAAGGCTTTTGACAATGCAGAATTTCATTAAAACAGCAGCTAATTGAGAGATTGTCAGGGAGTAGAAACCTGACCTGGGGCAAGACCACTTTTTAGCTTCTGGTGACACCTGGGAAATATAATTCAAAATCAGATTTTGAATAGGAAAAATCATATTGTATTCATTTATATTCTACACACTTTTCCTGCGATGATTAAAAACTTATTAATATTTTAGACTGCATATCAGCAATAAGCAAGATCTACTGCTACATCAATGTTATTCAGATTTTGAAGTTCATAAAAATTACCTGGAGATCCTGTTACAAGGAAGATTGAAATTCAGTAGGCATAGGGTGGAACATGAGATTTTGCATTATAAACCAGCTTCCAGATAACATCAGCAATAATAGAATAGTAGCGCTGGGATCATCTGGAAGCTTGAAAATTTCAGCACCCAATGCAGAGCTTCTGAATCAGAATCCTGAGGTGATTCCTGGGTGCATTACAGTTTGAGAAAACTGTAGTAGATGCAAATATTTCCCTTATATCTTCCAAATTAAATTTCTTGGAAGTCCGAAAGATAGGATTCATTTTTTTTTTTTTTTTTTCAGATGAGAAAATTGAGGGTCAGAGAGGTTAAGCTATTTTCTCAGGGCACAGAGACGATGTGATTAGGGTGAAATGTAATATTTAGTCTTATTCCAAATTATGCATTTGTTCTAGTATATTTCAGCTGCTGCAATTTAAAACTGTAGCAGTAATAAGTAAACTTGGGATAGTTTTAAAGATAAAACTAGATAAAGATAAATATCTATTGAATTACCATCAATCATTACAGAATTGTGAAAAAAGACTGAAAGTAACAATTCGTTGTATTACACAGCCTTCTTTTCTCTTTTAGTAATCTCCGAATTTGTCATCATATTTGCCATGCATGTTAGCCATGGATCTGATAAAAAGGATTTTAGAGCAGTTAGAATAACACTGTCAAACTTGTGTACTGTGCTTGAAGACATTGTGTATTCAATGCTATTTTACTATTTGCCCATATGCAGACACACTTTTAGAAGTTTGCAGTTTCCATTATATATGACCCTGTCTAGTATTTTGGGAAAATGGGCCTTTTTCCTATCATTGGAATGTTAACATTTGAAGTATCACTGCTTCCCGTCATAGCTATGAACTCTGTGGGGGCAAGTAATGAATTGAAGAGCAACATCCCTAAGGCGTCCATGATGAGTCGGTGAACAGCCATGTCAAAGTGTACTTGCCATAATTATGGAGTATGAGTGTTAAGTCCCTAGATATTTAGAAGTCTCTTTTGTATCTTGGGAAGCTTTGATTCCATCTAGTCTCTGGGACAATAAATGGCCATAGCCCCTTGTAAAGGGACTTTCTTAGAATTTTTATAGCCATTCAGGACAGACTAACACAGTAGTAATGATGATATGTGTACCACTAAACACACTATCATTTTTTCCTTTTGATTTGCTGTCATTTTCTTCTTAGAATACCAGTGAGGAACATGAAGCCCAGACAATGAGGTCAGAGTGGTTATAATCACCAGCTCATTCTGAAGAGTCCAAGCAGATTCTGGAGTTCCACGGTGCTAAACGATCCAGCAATTCTTCCCTGAACCATATAATTTTATCCAGGTTGACTCTAAATACCACATAATTGGCACTTTTCATCATAAGCATTGGCTAAAAATTTGATTTTTCTTTTAAAAACCTAGGGACTTTAAATATAATATGTAAATGCAAAAATATATGCAAATGACAGTATTCTGTGCAATATAGTTTCAATTTGTATTTTTTGCAATGAATAACTTTGTACATGTGTCATTTTGCATGTTTGAAGATATCTGTAAGATACCTGATGATTTTTGACAAATGTATACACTCCTGAAAATACCACCTAATCATGATATAGAAAAGTGACACTTAAGCCTCTTTGGAGTCAGTTCCCTCCCCCTAACTCTGGCTCATAGCATCCTTTACACGCTTTCTGTCTCTATAGTTTTGCCTTTTTTATAATTTCATATAAATGGAATAATACAGTATGTAGACTTTCATATCTAGGTATTTTCCACTTAGCATAATAATTTTGACATTTATTTGTGTTGTTACATGTAGCAGTTCGTTCTTTTTATTGTCAAATAGTATTACTTGCTGTAGATGTGCCACAATTGATCTATTCACTAGTTGATGGAGAATTGGTCTGTTTTCAGTTTGGGGCTAATATGAATAAAGTCGACATGAACATTTGACTCCAAGTCTTGGGTGAACATATGTTTTCTTTTTCCTTGGGTAAACGTTTAGCACATGACTCTGCTGGGTTTTATGGTTACTGCATATTTAAGTTAATAAGAACCTACCTAATTCTTTTGTGAATTGGCTCTAACATTTTGTATTTCTACCAGCCAAACTTGGTATATTTTCAGTCTTAACTTTACACTTGGTAAGAAATGTGTAGAGACATCTTATTATGGTTTACATTTTAGTTTTTCTAATGACTAAAGACGCTGAGCATCCTTCTGTGTGTTATTTGCTATTTGTATATCTTCTTTGATGATGTGTATATTTCAAATCTTTTGCCCTTTTTTTTTCATTGAGTTGACTGTCTTGTTTTGCATGAGTTCTTTACATATTCTTAAAACAAGTTATTTATCAGATATGCGACTTGCAAATGTAGTCCCCACTTCCAAAAAGGCTTGACTTTTTGAAAAGTGTCAATGTTGACAAAGTCCAACTTACTAAATAATTTTTTTAAAAAATATTTTTATAGTTAGAGCCTTTTGTGTCCTAAGTGTTGACTAGCACAAGGTCATAAGATGTCTTTAAAAATATTGTCTTCTATATATCTTATACTTTTAACTCCTACATTAGGGTCTGTGATCCATTACAAGTTTTTTGTATGTGATGTGAGGTAAGGATTGAGGTAATTTATTTATATTTTTTAGGGCTATGAAATTGTTCCACCATCATTTGGGGAAATGACCATCCCCTTTCCATTGAAATACCATGGTATATTGATCAAAAATCAAATGACTACACATATTTCTGGACTATCTGTTCTATTTCATTGATCTGTGTGTCCATCTTTATATCAATACTATACTTTTAATTATGTGTGGCTTTATAATAAGTCTTGAAATCAAGTTGTGTATATTCAACTCTGTTATCTCCTTTCAAATTGTTTGGGCTATTCTAGATAGCTTTTACTTCCCTGTAAAACTTATAATCAGATTGTCAATCTCTACAAATAAAAATTCTGGTGGAATATTTTTGTGACAATTATATTGAAACTATAGGTCAATTTTGGAAAAATTAATAGCTTAATAATATTGAGTATTCTAATACATGAGCAGGGTATATTTCCCCATTTATGTAGTTCTTATTTGTTTGTTAATGTTTAGTAGTTTTCAGAGTGTGTCTTATACATGCTTTCTTAAATTTCTGTCTAAATATTTTAAATTTATGAGTGTTGTTCTAAATAATAATTTTTATTTCAATTTCTACTTATCCATTGTAGTGTATAGAAATACATAAAATTTTATAAATTGACTTTGCATTATGTGATCTTTACATATTTGCATATTAGTTATATTAGTTTTATTTGACGATTACATAGAATTTTCTACATAGAAGTTCATGTTGACTGTTCATGTTGACTGTTTTACATATTCCTTTCCAGTTTTATACCTTTTATTTATTATTACTGGCTAAGATTTCCACTACAATGGAAGTGGTGTGATAAGGTAAACTTACCTT